GATCTGACGTCGATTGTGTCCCTTGGGGTCGTCGTCTTAGGAAATTCCTTGGAATTTCGCTAAGTCTTTATCTTTCCTCCTCGGAGGATCTGACATCGATTGTGCCCCTTGGGGTCGTTGTCTTAGGAAATTCCTTGGAATTTCGCTAAGTCTTTGTCTTTCCTCCTTGGAGGATCTGACGTCGATTGTGCCCCTTGGGGTCATCGTCTTAGGAAATTCCTTGGAATTTCGTTAAGTCTTTGTCTTTCCTCATTAGAGGATCTGACGTCGATCGTGCCCCTTGGGGTCGTCGTCTTAGGAATTTCGCTAAGTCTTTGTCTTTCCTCCTTGGAGGATCTGACGTCGATCGTGCCCCTTGGGGTCGTCGTCTTAGGAATTTCGCTAAGTCTTTGTCTTTCCTCCTTGGAGGATCTGACGTCGATTGTGCCCTTTGGGGTCGTCGTCTTAGGAAATTTCTTGAAATTTTGCTAAGTCTTTGTCTTTCCTCCTTGGAGGATCTGACGTCGATCGTGCCCCTTGGGGTTGTCGTCTTAGGAAATTCCTTGGAATTTCGCTAAGTCTTTTTATTTAACCCGTGGATTTTTTTGGCAGACATATTATTAAGGGGTGAATTCTTTTCATTCTGCAAACATATCAATTTATTCAATTTGTAAAGAATGTACAATTGAGATATGCGAGAATTTCATACATTATTGGTAGTACAACCTTAGTTGTTCTGCATTTCACGGGTGTTGGATCTTTTTGCCGTCGAGGCTCTCCAAAACATAGGTGCCGGGATGTAGCATTTTTCTTATGCGGTAGGGCCCTTCCCAAGTTGGGCCCAGTGGACCAGTATTTTTGGGTTTCGTGCTTTGCGTTACCCTTTTTAGTACTAGGTCCCCTGGGATGAACCTCCTCTGTCGAACTTTCTTGTTGTAGTATCGCGCCGTCCTTGGCTTATAGGCGGCGAGACGTAGTTGGGAGTCGAGCCTTTTTTCTTCCAATAAGTCGAGTTCTCCGTTCATGCCTTCCGCGTTGTCATCATCGTTATGGACGACGGTTCTTAGAGTCGGCGTTTCAATTTCTATGGGGAGCACCGCCTCGACGCCATATGCCATGGAGAAGGGCGTTTCACCTGTAGTAGTTCGGCTCGTCGTTCTGTATGCCCACAAGACCTTGGGAAGTTTCTCGGCCCATTTCCCTTTCAGATCGTCGAGTTTTTTCTTGAGGGTATACTTTAATATCTTATTGACCGCCTCGACTTGTCCATTAGATTGTGGATGGATCGGCGTCGAAAAATCTTTCCGGATGCCCAAGTCATCGCAGAACCTGCGCGTTGAGGCGTTGTCGATCTACTTTCCGTTGTCAGATACTATTGAGTGGGGAACCCCGAACCTGCATACGATGTGATCCCACATGAATTTGGTGCAGGCTGCTTCTGTGGGTGTAGTTAGGGCCTTTGCCTCTGCCCATTTTGTGTAGTAGTCTACCGCAATGATTGCAAACTTAAATCCTCTGGGTGCAAGATGTAATGGCCCGAGCAGGTCAACTCCCCATTTGGCGAAGGGCTAAGGACTGAGAATGGACGTCAAATGTTCTGGGGGTGCTATAGGAATTGTGGCATACCTTTGGCATTTATCGCAACGTCGGGCGTACTGAAAAGCGTCCTTTTTGAGCGTGGGCCAGTAGTATCCTTGCCGCAAAACCTTTAGAGCCAAAGACTGCCCCCCAGAGTGGTTACCGCAGATCCCTTCATGGATTTCGTGGAGGACCTTTTGCGCCTCAGTTTCATCCAAACACCGCTATAGAGGGGTTGAGTAGCCTCGTCGGTAGAGCAAGCCGTCATACAACAAGTACCTAGCAGCTCTATACCTGACCCGTCTGGCTTCGTCCTTATCGTTTGGCAATTGTGCATCCATTAGGTATTGGATGAGGGGGGTCATCCAACTTTCACCTACTTGGACAATTAATGCCTCCACCTTTTCTTCTATAGTTGGTCGCTCCAATTCCTCGATGGGGACGGCCCCTAGTGTGTCGGATTCTCTAGAAGATGCTAGCTTCGCCAGAGCGTCGGCGCTTGCATTTTCGGTTCGTGGTATCTGGAGTATCTCGTAATTTTTAAACTTAACGAGTTCTTCTTTTACCTTTCTTAAGTACGCTCTCATCTTCTCACCGCACGCTTGGTATTCTTCCTTTACTTGCGCGACAACCAATTGAGAATCGCTGAAGACGCTGAGTCTTTCAATCTTTAGGTGGCTGGCTAACCGTAGTCCGGCAATTAGTGCTTCATATTCCGCCTCGTTGTTTGATGCCTTGAATTTAAATCGGACCGCCGAGGTAATTTTGTGGCCTTCAGGACTGATTAACAGGACGCCGGCTCCTGACCTGTTTTCACTCGACGCCCCATCCATGTAGAGCTTCCATTCTACAACCTTGACTTCCCTAGGTGCGGCGGGAGTTGGCCTATGAGAGAACTCAGCCAAGAAATCGGTGAGCGCTTGGCCCTTGATCGCAGTTCTTGGCACATACTTTATGTCGAATTGGCTTAACTCTACCGACCACTTGAGGAGTCGACCGAAAGTTTCGGGCTTTTGTAGAGCCTGCCTCAACGGGTGGTTTGTGAGAACCCGTATTGTGTGAGACTAGAAATAGTGCCGAAGCTTCCTTGAAGCTACCATCAGGGCGAGGGCCAGGCGCTCTATCTCGTTGTATCTCAACTCGGTGTCGAGAAGCCTTTTGCTTACGTAGTAGATTGGCAGCTGCACCCTCTATTCTTCTCTTACTAACACGGAACTTACGGCGTGTTGGGATACGGAGAGGTATAGGCTAAGCTCTTCGTCGATGTTCGGTTTTGACAGAATTGGGGGCTTGCCTAACTGTTTCTTCAATTTCTGGAAGGCCTCTTCACATTAGGGTGTCCATTCAAAGCGCCTGCTTCCCTTTAAAGCGTCGAAGAAGGGGACGCATTTGTCGGTTGCTTTTGATATGAACCTATTTAAGGCGGCGACACATCCTGTTAATATTTGCACTTTCTTTGGCTTTGTTGGAGACCGTTTATCCTGAAGGGCCTTGATTTTCTCGGGGTTAGCTTCAATCCCCCGATTACTGACCATAAAGCCGAGGAATTTTCCCGACCCAACTCCAAAGGTGCACTTTTGGGGATTGAGTTTCATGTGGTATTTTCTTAGCACACCAAACATTTCCCCCAGATGATTGACGTGATGGTTGGCCCTGGTACTTTTTACTAGCATATCGTCAACATAAACCTCCATTGTTTTACCGAGCTGTTGAGCAAACATTTTATTCACAAGCCTCTGGTAGGTAGCCCCTGCATTTTTTAGGCCGAAAGGCATCACTTTGTAGTAGTAGAGGCCCCTGTCGGTTATGAAGGATGTTTGCTCCTCGTTGGCTGGATGCATGGGGATTTGGTTGTATCCGGAGTAAGCGTCCATAAAGCTTAGCATCTCATGTCCCGCCGTGGCATCGACCATCTGGTCTATGCGAGGGAGTGGAAAGCCATCCTTTGGGCAGGCTTTATTGAGATCACTGAAGTCGACGCATGTCCTCTAATTCCCGATGGGCTTGATCACTAGAACGGGGTTTGATACCCAACGAGGATAATGGGACTCCCTGATGAACCCATTATTAATCAGCTTGTTGACCTCTTCTCTCAGCACCTCATACCTCTCGGGGTTCATCGGCCGACGTTTTTGTCATTTGGGCGGATGTGAGGGGTCGACGTTTAGGGAGTGACATATTACTTCGGTGTCGATCCCTTCCATGTCAGAATGATTCCAGGCGAAGACATCTAGGTTCTTATTGAGAAAGTTTTCGATCTCATCTTTAAGTGATGGGGCTAAGCCTGAGCCTACTTTTAGCACTCTGGTGGACTCGCCTTTACCAACTTGGATTTCCACCAACTGCTCAACAGGTTGAGACCATGTGACTTCCTCTTGGATCCGGGGATCTATATCCTCGACAAGGCCTTGGTGAACCATCCTTGTCTCCTGTCTTCCCGGTTGGTCGTATCCGCGCAGGGCGTCAGAGTATGCGACCCTAGCTTCATACTGGTTGCTCTTCATTTCTCCTACACCATTTGGGGTGGGGAACTTGACCTTTTGGTGGTAGACGGAGGTTATTGCTCTCAACGCTTGGAGGGTTGGCCTCTCGATTACCGCGTTGTACAAGGAGCTTCCCTTTATGACCACGAAATTGGCCATTGTGGTTGCCTGTCGAGGTTTTTCACCGGCGATTATGGGTAGGCGGATGGTCCCTTGAGGGATGACGGAGTCGCCTGTGAAACCATACAGCGGCCTGGAGGTTTTCTCCAATTGCTTCTTTTGGATCCCCATTTTCTCCAAGCAATCGGAGTATAGGAGGTCCACCGAGCTCCCATTGTTCACCAGGATTCTGCACACGATGTAGTTTCCTATCATGGCTTCCACCACCAAGGCATCGTTGTGGGGGAAATGAACCCCACTAGCGTCATCCTCGTTAAAAGCCACATCGGTGTGGATGTACCTTGGGGTTTTTGTGGCGGAGATGCTTCAGAATCGCTCCTGATAAACCCCCTGGCCTCGTGGGCGTAGTCCTTCTGAGACCTCCTTGAGTCTCCTCCTATATAGGGACCGCCGAGGACAGTCCTTATGACGCCGACGGGTTCGCGATCCTCTGGGCGCTGATTCTCCTCTCGGCGTCGACCGTCATTCTGCCCACCATGGCCGTCATTCCGGGGCCTTCACTCGGCCCTGAATTCTTGTAACCTTCCCTCACGGATCACTCTTTCGATTTCGTCCTTGAGGTCGGCACAATCGTTGGTGTGGTGGCCGACATCGCCGTGGAACCTACAGAATTTCTTCTGGTTCTTTCGGCTGGGATCTGACTTCATTACTTCCGGTCGGCGTAGCAAGTTCCCGCGGCCGACCTGGTTGAAGACCTCCTCGACTCCTACCGTTAACTCATGGTAGGAATCATACTTTTGGAACAGTCGAGGCTTGCGGGTATCCTCTTGTCTCGGCTTTTTAGCTTCCAGAGCGTTCGTCGTTGCGGCGGGCTGCTTGTCTCCGTTTCCTCCGCCTCGACGCTTCTTCCCATCCTGGCCTTCGCTCGGCCCTGAATTCTTGTAACCTTCCCTCACGGATCACTCTTTTAATTTCGTCCTTGAGGTCGGCACAATCATTGGTGTGGTGGCCGACATCGCCGTGGAACCTACAGAATTTCTTCTGGTTCCTTCGACTAGGATCTGACTTCATTACTTCCGGTCGGCGTAGCAAGTTCCCGCGGCCGACCTGGTTAAAGACCTCCTCGACTCCTACCATTAACTCATGGTAGGAATCGTACTTTTGGAACAGTCGAGGCTTGCGGGTATCCTCTTGTCGAGGCTTTTTGGCTTCCGAAGCGTTTGTCGTAGCGGCGGGCTGCTTGTCTCCGTTTCCTCCGCCTCGACGCTTCTTCCCATCCTGCTTCACAGGCGCCGACCCTTGTTCGGTTCCTTTATTCTTGTTGGTCCGGTGCTCGGGGTCGTTCGCGTCCGCCTCTTCGGCGTTGATGTACCCCTGCGCTCGCGCCAAAAATTCCCTGTAGCTGGTTGGAGGTTTTCAGTTTTGCTATCTTTTGAACGGGGTAATTTTCTTCATGCTAGATAAGGCCCCCATCAAGGCTTCTCTATATGTTATGTCCATCGTAGCGGCGACAACTTCCCCTTACCTTGCGAGCCATTCCCTCATTGACTCGTTTCGCTTTTGGTATATCATCGTCAGATTCTGCTTTGGATGGACGTATTTTTTGACCCCTATGAATTGGAGGGAAAACGCTTCATTCAACTCGTCCCAGCTCGAGATAGAGTTTGGCCTCAGCGTTCAGAACCACCTCCGGGCAGAATCCGTCAAATGGTTTCGAAAGGCTCGGCACGTGATCTCCTCGGCGTAACCGTGTAAGAGCATGTGCCCAGTGTACATCTCCAGATGATCGTCGGGATCTCCTCGCCCATCATATGGCGGGATTGATGGCGACCTATATTTATCGGGGAGAGGGGGTGCCATTATCTCTTCGGTAAATGGGTGGTCGTGTGTGCGACTGCGCGTGATGTCGACGTTTACCACCTTAGCTACACGACCTATATTCTTTTTCAGGCCCGTCACGTCCCCTGTCAGTTTTTGCTCCAGGCTGGCCATACGTTCCATGATGGCGCGTGCTTCCTCTGTCGAAATGGCCGAGCCGGCTACTCTTGACGCTTCCGCCCTCTGAACGTTGGGCCCGCCTCGGGCCTAGCCGCCTGCCTGCACTGAGCCTGAGTCTCCTGGCGGGTTTCCACCTGGATTCTAAGATAGTATCTCGGGGTTTCCAAGACCTTTCAATACCCGGTCCTCGGGAGCTCGGAGCCCGGCAGCCCCCAAACGGCTGCCGGGGGATTGGGAAGGCCGAGGCCTAGGAGGGCCCCGGTGATTCTCACTATCTCCGGTTCCCTCTTGGACAAGTGGGTAGTTGCCGCGGTTTGGATCTCCGGCCATGGCGGGTCCCCGTGGCATCGGAGCATCTTCTAATGGCGGCATGGAGTTCCTTCCATCTAAGCGCTCCACCACGGTCATTAGCCCACGTACTAGCTCGGTTAGAGTGGTCAGTTGGGCCTGCATCTGCATCGGATCCGGCCGTGGCGCGTTTGGAGGTGGAACTTCATTTCCGACCGGGCGTAGATCTCCTTCCATCCCGCTATTCCCTGGACGGGCGGCGGTTTATCACTATGTTGTTGGGGGTCGAATGCTTTCGTTCCCCAGTGGAGTCGCCAATTGTTGACGGTCAATTTTTGCCAACAAAAAACTGACCGGATTACCTCTCAATTTTCCCTCGGATTACCGGCCGTGTGTGTGTGTTTACGTATCAGGAATTGATGGATATGTGTTTGCGTGTATTTACTAAGAATCAAATATGTAAATGACGTCAGGAAATTTATAGTGGTTCACTCTATAAATTTTAGAGCTACATCCACTGTAATCTTGTATTTCTTTGTTTGGGGTAAGTTACAATTTACAATTTTTATTCTCAGCTAGAGTTTTTTCAAACCTCCCCCTTGCTGGGGTCTTTCTCCTTTTATATTGGGCTTCCTTCACCCAGGGGGTTTCCTTCATAGCTAGAAGCACTCAAGTGCTCTCCTTCGGTAAGCCCAAATGTAGCCCACTAATTAGCACTGTTCACTCAGCTAATTAGTCTTCTATTACGGCTCTGTGCTTCCCCGTAATACTTTCCTGTCCCCTGTGGGAGCGGTCTGACAGCTCGCAATTAATGCTTGCAGACCACCTCCACTTCTGTACGTAACCCGTTATGTCCTCTAAAGGACGTTCCTCTCGTCGTCAGCACTTCTTAGCCCAATCGCCTTCTTCGATAGCCCTTTCTGCGGTCGAGAGATCTTCATCCCTTAGCGTCGACGGCACAATTGGCCGACACCACAAAGGATCATCGCCCTAACTTGGACTTCGTCCTTGGGCCTTCGCAGTGGGGTATGAGGAGTCTGCAAGCGTCGAGGGTTCCTTGCTTGATGGGGATTAATCAATGCCACGTGTTGCGGTATACTTTGCCCACACGTCCGCCACATTTTCCCACACAACAATAGCCATTATTTTAACTTTCCAAGATCCTCTATGAATACGATCTTTGTCATGCATGTTCTTAATTGCTTATGGTGTGTGTGGTTGTTATAACCGTAATCTCTAAACAACAATGAAAATCCACAACTTAAAAACCTATACAAGAATGAAGAAAGAGAGATGTAACAGAGATTTAGCATATTTATGTATGCTTGTTTGTCTTTTAACTCTTTAATTATCTATAAACATACATATCATAAAGGAGTAGACACAAAAATGTAAAAGTATTTGTTCCATTATTTATCGGAGAGTAAATTACTAAATTACTCAATCTGTTAAGCTAATAGAAATATTCAAAAGAATACTTTCTTCTTTCACATTTCATAGATTTTATTTCAAACAAAACCCGAGCCTTGACTATTTTATCAAGCACCATTAGGGACGTCTCAAAGTCCAACGCTATCAATGGTTTCTACCATACTTGTTTGTGCATTGTCTCATTTATTTAGTGTTTCATTGTGTTTTCCAGCGACTGGATTTGTTTGTGGTGGTTTTTTTGTGTAGTTTTAGTGCTATGTTCTCAATGTTAGTTGGTCAGATATTTCAATTGATGTAGAGGATCTGTAAAGGGTCTATTTGAGTGTCTTTTTTTTTTTTTTTTTAAATTCAACAACTTTTTTTTAGCGTCTTATTTGAGTTTACATGTGAAACTGAACTAAAAGACTGACAGTGTGGGGGAGTCGTGTTTTCTATATTAAGAGACTGTGTGTGAATTGATGGGTGCGTTTGGAATCCGTTCTAAAATGATTTTATTTTTTATATGAAAATGAGAATGAAAACATTTTCATTTTCAGGTAGGAATCATTACTGAAAATGTGTTTGGTAATTTATTCAGAAATTATTTTCAGTAGAAGAAAAACTGAAAATGCGTTTGGTTTTACATTTTTGAAAATATGTAATAGTATTTGAAATAATATATTAAATAATTAATAAACTCCTCAATAAATACATTAATAATTAATATAATATATACGACACAAATCCAACAAAATGACCAATCCTCATATACTCCAGCCACAGACGACACAAATCCAACAAAATGACCTTTTGCAGCCTCCTTCCTCCTGTTCCCCTCCCGCCGTTGTCACAGCCCCTCTCCCTCACCCAGTTCGCCCTCTCCCTCCTCCGCTACTGCCGCCGCCGACCCATCCTTCCTCTCCACCACATTCGTCCTCATCGACAGCTCCACCGGCCGCCACATGTCCTACTATCTTTTTCTCCGCCAAATCCGCTCCTTCTCCCTCTCCCTCCTCCGCCACCGCCGACGACCCATCCTTCCTCTCCACCATATCCGTCCTCGCGCGATTCCATTGACAACCCAACCCTTAGAACGATGGAGACCGAAGATGAGGGAGACCGGGGGGAGTAGAGGAAAGAAAGTTAAAATGAAAATGGGAAAACGAGACCGAGGAAGAGATTGACATGGAGGAAAATGAAAATGAGAAAATGAAAACGAACCTAAATCGTTTTCAGAATTTCTGCATTTTTAAGAGAGGGTCAGAAAACGTTTTCATTTTTATTTTTTGTACGATGCGGCGCCAAATGATGTCCTTAAACCATTTTCATTTTTTGGTCCTCGAAAAACGTAAAAAAATATTTTTAAAATTGGAAACAAACACGCCCGATATTTCTATTATCTTTTCATCTTATGAGATATTTGTTTTTTTTTTCTCAAAGAAAAACTGACTCCTTTTTTTGTCTTTTTAATAATAAAAACTTTTTTTTTAGTATTCTTTCTTTTTTAGAAATACCGATAGTATTCTTGTTTATCAACCGTTTGGATTTATATTAAATTTGATCAAAAATTAAATCAGATTAAAAAATAATACATATTTAATAACTGATAAGCAGATAACACCAGTGTTCTTAAAAAAAGAGAACACATAGAGAAATTAATAATAAAGGAAACCAAGGGGCTGTTCGGCAGCCTCTTTAACTCAAAAAAAGTAAATCGAGTTACAACTTTATTTAAGTTAATGTTCTTTTAAGTTTAAACTCGAGTTTGTGACTAAAACTCGAGTTCAAGTTTCTCCTTCAACTCGAGTTCAGAAACTCGAACTCAAATTAATGAACAATATTTTTTCTATTATTAAAAATGCTATAACTTTTTCGTTTTAATTCTGATTGAGATGATTTTTTTTCTATGCATTCACAACGAAAAGACGAATAAAACCCCACACATATACTCTATTAAAATTTTTCATTAACATTGAGTTTTTTATTAATACTATCTAAATATAAAATACTTTTTCTTCTCAACATAGGATGTCACAATCGCCTTACGTATCCAATTTTTTTCTTCGTGGAATTTTAAAGGAAGTCCTGCTCATCAATTTTTAAACTTTACATCACACCAAAAATACATATTTTCCAACTCCACCTGATAATATTTTTACTTGTTGAAGAAAATAAGAATTATTTTCCACGCTTATAAATTTATGATATTTTTGTGTACGTGAGATGCCTGCCACGAAGGAAAAAGGACTGCCAAAGAGGTAGATTCTATTAGGAAAGAAAAGCGCGTTTAGGAAAAATTAAGAAAAAAAAAAAGAAAAAGAAAAGGAAAAGAGAAGGGAATATAGAAATAACAGAATAAGCATGCTTTTTTATTTTTATTTTTTTCTCTCTTTTGAAATTTCGGAATAGGATACTTTTTCCTTTTTCTTTTTGATAATAAACGGAATAGGATACTTGGAGTTGAAGTTGGGACTCTATTTTCTCCCTTTTGTTTTCTTTTCGTTTCTTTTTTGCTTTTTTCCCTTTATGGGATGAGATAAAAATGAAAACAAATGACAAAATGATTTTGTTTTCCTTCTTTCTTACTTAATTTCTAAATTTGTTTTCCTCGCGTTTCCTTATTAATTGTCATATCCTAAATTTGAATTATCTATCACATAACCCAATTTTTTCTCTGTTTAAAATTTTAAATAACGTAAAGATACCATTCGACAAGACAAGAAAAAGGAAATGAAATGAAATGAAATGACATGTTCTTTTATTATTTTTTCTGGTTCTTCTGGAGTCATTAGCTTAGTATGAAAAAGACAAACGTATTCTATCTCGGTAATACATCAAGTAATGATCTCATTCTTCCACAATATATTTCTTATCTATCCAAAGTTGTTTGTTCAATATTAATCAAAATATCGTCATTATGGGCCCCGGTTTTTTTCCCCTTTTCTAATTGTTATGAGTTTGACATAAATATAGAATCAATAACAATTAAATTAAATATTAATGTGCCTTTGAGAGTATATATATATATATATATAAGGTGTTTTTTTTCTAATTATTATTATTATTTCCTAAAGGAGTGTCAAGTGTGTGTAGTTATTTGTACTTGTATACACGCATATGAGTATAAAAGTATATGATGGTTAGCCAAACGCGTTTTAGTGAAAGAAGAGATGTCATGATTTCTTTACTTCTTGTTATAATAATAGTCATAAAGACCTATAAAGAAAAGGTAATCATAAAGAAAAGATTAATTTGAAGGCACTTTGCCATAATTCTTTGACCCAAAAACCTTTTTTATAAACCAT